AATAAATTCCTGTTCAACAACCAGGGTTTACACCATTTCCTTTTAGTTTTTAAGCTCATCTTTTTTTTAATTACACACACTGCAGCCGTTGCAAGTATTAACTCTTCGTCCAAATGTTCCATCTTGTCGGCAACAATGCACGTTTGGGTGCTCTTCCTTCACAACTGTGTAAAACGAACTGAACGTGTAAACGACAGATTTTCGTTCAGTTCATCTGCACAGATCTGGCTTGCGCAAGCCAGACCGTTCAGATGGCTTGAGCGTGTAAACGGGCTTTAAGACTTTATGTTGGATATCATACATTGTAACAATTAAGTTGGACTGAAAAAGTTAATGTTCTGCTTCTAGGGCGAAAATGTAGCACCAATTAAAATATTTGCACTCTTCAAAGATACACCATGTATAATGTTACAAAATTAGCGCAACGTTTCAATTAAACGTTTCTGAGGGCGGACATTTACAGTTACATAAATATTTCTGAAACATACAGGGTGATTCAAAATTGGCGTCATTCCTCTGGAGGTGTTGTGTGGCGCTGTTATAGCAGTACAGAAAAAATAGTAAAATAAATTAATTGCTATTAAAAACTGAGAAATTTCAAAAAAACTATATCAGAAATACGGCAGCAATGTTTTTTAAGGTAATCTGCCTAATTAACATTGCGCAAATACCTGTGGCTTCGTAATTATTTGAAACTCTTGTAACCATGGAACTATACAGAGTGACAATAAGATAAACAAGGATAAACGGTAAATTCAACAAGATTTGTTGACTGCGTAACGTACTTTCGAAATATCAACCTGGTCTCATAACCCCGTATTCTGCGGGGTTTGGTGTATACATAAATAATCCATACATCAAACATTTGAATGATTAACTACAAACAAGCTAGTGCCTGTGTAATCTCCTTATTAGCCACTCTTATCAAGCAGCTTCTCGTATTCAGTTAATTAACTCGTGCTTCATTTGTTTCTCCTTGTGCTGTGTGTATCGTACAAACGTGGTAGGAATGTAGCCGGTATTTATTTGGTGCCTGGGAAAGTGTCTGTTATTGTGCTCTGAGTGCCCCTGGAAGGCTCTGATTCACTATCTTCCTGGAACCACTCTCCTCGCCCTTTGTTGGCGTGAGTTCCTTCAGCTTCTGCTATGTTACTGTAGCATTTCCCCGGAACTAATCGCATATCAGCAAGTTCGTGAAAGGAAATTGAAAGTAAGTCACAGTTTGACAAATTATTGTTTTTATTGACAGGGTCTATCCACCTGTAACTATCTGTTAATGACAGAAAACATCATTGACGCTGTGATTTTTCATGAAAAAATTGTAGAATAGAACTTTTTTGATATCAAAAATTTTCGTAATTTGAAGCAAAGATCGTAATTTTTCTTTTTGATTGCTTATGTATTCCAATATGCTACCAATTAAACATGGAACAATTTCAAAAAATGCTTAATAACAAAGTTGAAATTTGATCTTCAACTGTTAATATCTTCTAAAAATTTTCAATATTTTTCTCGTACTCCCCATGTGAGCCTCTATCACCGCTTAAAAGGAATGACGCCAATTTTGAATCACTCTGTATGGAAAACGAACCAACAAACTGTGCAACACAACATATAATTAAATCACACATGAACAGGACAGCTGATGTACACCAAGGGGCTACCACTAGTTTTGAGGTTTGTGACAATATAGACTTGGATGATTTGAGCAGAAGTGTTCAACTGCTGTTTCTATTTGTTTAAAAGGTTGCAAAACCTGATTAGGATAAAACAAATCACAATCAGATGTAGACACGTCAAGTGAGTTATGTGACGGTCCTATACGCGTTCCGCTGAATCAGCCAAATGCTGACGACAATGCGTTTACTTCAAACCAAAGCACATTTGAGCTGATTACCAGTGACTTCATTTTTATCTTTTAACAAATACACATGTAGAGTTTTTTTCATCAAAAATAAACGTGTTAGTAGAATTTTATTGTTTTTTTAAAAACGGCTTTGCCATATTGAAATAGTTAACTAGTGTCAAAATACTAGTGTACTTGTGACTCAAATTAGCAGGGGTGGAACTTTTGAATTCGCGAATGTTGTTTACCCAAAGGTGCACCGAAGTTAGATTAACACAACTATTTGATCGTCGAATGTACGTTATTAGTCGTAAATAGTTCCTTATTAGGTGTTTATTCTTATGCTCCTCACTTTTTCTTTCTGTATTTCAAAATTTGTTCAGAATTGTTTGATGCCAGAAGCATACCTTTTATTATGTTAATAGCACAACAATACCTATAATTAGTAATGATGTTTAAAGTTTGCGGTTTGGTGTAACAACTTCATACATATGTATTTTCGTTTATGTTGCAGGGTAGCAGTATCGATTCGCGTGAGAATGCATTTGACGATATGAGCGAGCTGATTGTGGTAATTATTTCTGCCTTATAATTAAAGTAAGATTATATTTTAAATTTAAATCTATAGATTTTCACATATTTGTTATCTGTGCTGAAATGCTTCGTGCGCCGCAAACATATTTTTTAACATTTGTGCACAAAACGCAAAAGAAACTCGGTCAATTGCGTATTAAACGTATAAGGAGAACACGATGCACAAACTTCTTTGCATTAATTTGCTTTAAATTAAGATAAACAAAGGATGATCTCGATTAATTGTTCTTATCATACGCACGTACCATAAAAAAAATTTTCGGTAAACGTCAGGCCGAGACAAATTACCAATTGCGCAAATTATTGCCCAACAAGAAATAATGCATTATGAAGAGCAGTCGTCACAGCAACAAGTTATAAAATCGTAATAATAATAAATCCATGTACTAGGGCTCGGTTCAAACTCGAATAATTTGAGTATTCGAATATTCAAAATGTAAATAATTATGTCTAGTTATAACTCGAATACTCGAATACTCGAATACACCAACATTATCAAACTCTCATTTTTTTATAAAATAAATTATTTATATTCTACTAGCATTTAAACAGATACCAATATATTTACAAGCAAATGAAAATAATCATTTACCCTCCTGCAAATGAATATAAAATTACGTCTCTGTGTTCTGGTAATTCGCGTCATCAACTTTTGCGCGGTGTTACAATTAATGTGCTGACAAAGGCGCTTTTTTATCCGTTGCGGCTAATTGCCACAAATGATATGAGAAAACGATTTTTCTTCTTGGAAAATGGTCAACGGAAAACGAATACTCGAATATTCGAATACTCGAATACACCAACATTATCAAACTCTCAAGGTGCAAATATCTTTATATGCACTTTGTATACTTTTATAAAATAAATGATTCATATTGTGCTCGCTTGCAACCTTTAAACCCAAAAAAATGTGGTAGAGTTAAAACTCTCCTTTTAGAAAAAGGGTTTTTAAAAAATTTTATTTCAGCAACCTCGGTACAACATCTACTACCAGATCTTAGATTAACATATTTATAAGATAATAAATGCAGATTCTGCCTGCATCGTACAATGGAATGTGCTTAATTGTAATTAGTCATGAAATATCGAGGATATTACTCGTCCCCTATTAAATTAAAACACGTAATTAAAAGCGTTATTTTAGGATTACAATAATACTTTTGAGATACAATCAAATACAAATTTCATCTTGATAAGAATTATTCGATTTTGGTTGTTTACGGAATTGCAGATATTTTGAATAGAGAAGATACACTATCATTAGTACTAAAATTAAATAAAGAATTATTGTCCATATACTTGTACGATTTGTATACACATTATTCGACAGTTTTTGGATTTGGGATTTCTGTTCTTCTAATTTGTTCTTCAGCTCCACCGCGGTCTTCGTGTTGATGAAGTTCAGGTCCATTGAAGGTGGGTTGTATGCTATTGATTGGTTATCCTTGAGATGAATACGATTTATCGTTAGCAGGGGTACTTCGTTAAAATGCAGCTTGCTGGATTTAAATGTTTTTAGCACTATTGATTGTACTTGTAGTTTGCAATTGGCCGGAACTTCGATGAGGTAGGATCCAAATATGTGACAAAGGTATGACTTCCTTTAGGCGTTGACAATCGCTTGTGCTGACGGTATGAGTGGGTGTAGTTAGGATCCATTTTCCTTCACTAACTGATCTGCATTGGGGTGCATGTAGTTGTATCTCAAATGGGTGACAATTTGTGATATTTGGATTATGAGTAAGTAGCTGGACTTCACAGGGTGAATTGTTCTCTATGAAGTTTGTCTGCGTATTTTGACATGTATACTCATCTGTGGGCATTTCTTTACATTTAGCATCCATATATGAAAATCTGTGATCTCAATGCTAAGTAAGCTCTATGTGGAATATTAATCAGGAACGAGTGATTGACGGGTATTGGAAGTGAATACAAATGGAAATATTGGTACACTTCTGGCTCGACAAGTAGAAGTTCCATAATGAATATGAGTTTTAAATCTTTTGAAAAGCATTTAATTTCGACAATGTTTTCAAATATTAAGATGTGTTCTAATTCTGCAGGAATTGGTAATTTATTATTCTCTAAATGTAATTCTAGTTCTTTTATTTCTTTTAAAAGATCTTTTGGATCGATCCATGAGTTATGTAATGTATTTGTTTTGGCAAAAGTGATTGATGTTTCCAATTTATCAAGAATATTATAGATGGATTGATACATTAAAGTAATTTGGCTAATTAGTACATGACTTATTTCTTGGACTTCGGAATTTTCCTTTTTAAAAACTTTATTTTTACAATTACAGCAATTACTCTCTTTAACTCTGACTTTCTCTGACTGATACAATTATGCGTTTAGCAAGTATATATAAGTTATAAATGCAAGTTAGC